AATTGCAGGCCCCCCCCTGGCTCGCTTTGGCTCTCTGTCTGGCTTTGGCTCACCTCCCTCAGCAGCAGCGCAGCAGCAGCAGCAGATCGTCCTGATTGATCCCTCCCTCCGCGCCCGCTTGCTTGAATTGACTTGCCCAGCAACCTGTTTGGAATCCCCGTATATTCGTTCGCTCGAACACCAGGCTGGTCCTTACATGGAGCAAATTCGGTGTTCCTGTTTCTGTTCTCGTTCCTCGACACGGCTTCTCCGCTCACCTTGTGTGGTTTTTTCCAGTGTGCCCTTCCCGGCTAGAGACTATCGCCCTCTCCCCTTAAAACACTGTCTATCTGTTTGACGATCGCCCGGTCCGTCCACTCAGCGAACCCTCCTTCCCCGACTACCCCGATTTGCCTCGAGTTGGAAAGTGCATACTTCATTCACTCCTGTATCTGGTCTGCTTCAGATCCCATTCATCTAATTTCGGGCGATACCATTGTCGAGCGAGCAGCCCCCCTCCTCCCCTCAATCGAGGATTGCGAGTCATTGCCTGCGGAAAGCAGTACAAAGGCAATTTCGCTGACCCGTCGCCGGCCGATTTCTGCAGACATCGAGTCCCCTGCTTTGCCTCCTTCCCGGGTGTCGCGTCACATACCGCTACTATTATTCCCTTTTGAAACGCACTCCGTGCACACAATCGTTGACGGATTATACACTTGCCGGTGGCGGACTGTTTTCCGCCCGCAAGGTTGGATTTTAGGTGGACGTCGACATCAGCGGTCGATCACCACCGGACCTTTTTCGTCCAACTCTTCCCTAGAGGCCAACGTTGTTGGATCAACGTTGGAATCGCTATATGATCCCAGACACCCATGGGAATGCTAAAACTTCTTCCCTCCCAGGTGGAAAGTCACCAATAGCATCACGGAAGGCCTCGAACATGCCGTGGAAGTTATCGACAGACACGTCTCCGGAGGCAACGAATCGGCCGCCATTGACATCGCAGCAATCGAACTCCCTGCCATCCACTCCATATCAACATGCGCGGAAAATCTCTTTCCACTCCAGGTCCCCCTCGCCTCCCCACGGAAGCACATCCCCTCGATCTACCCACTCCGAGTCCACTCACCTCCCTCCGTCCCTGCGAAAACAGTTTTCGGGCTGCAAATATGAGACGGCCATGGCCTTCTTCCGCCGGAGAATACCATATTCCCTGGGTGCCGACCTGCTGCCGGAGGAGAAGGAGGGCCTCAAAGAGCGGTTAGAGCCGGAGGAGGAGAAAAAACTTAGCGCGGATATGTTGGAAGTATATGATCGACTTCTGCCGTCTGCAGAGAGTGACGATCGACGACGACAATTGGTCCGCAAGTTGGAAAAGCTCTTCAATGACCAGTGGCCAGGGTGTAATATTAAGGTTCATGTTTTTGGTTCTTCAGGGAACAAGCTTTGTTCAAGTGACTCGGACGGTATGTACCTGTTGCTTGCAACCGTGTGTGCTTGCGGTGTGATCTGACAGGGATTCCAGTGGACATCTGTATAACTACTACCTATAAGGAGCTGGAGCACGTTTGTCTATTGGCAGAAGTGCTGGCTAGGCGTAAGAGGTTCCTTTGGCCTGTACTTGCGGGGCGAATCACTGACAATCTTGGATCACAGATGGCATGGAACGAGTCGTTTGCGTTTCCCATGCGAAAGTACCCATTGTGAAGATCTGGGACCCGGAGCTGCGACTAGCGTGCGACATGAACGTCAACAACACCATGGCGCTGGAAAATACGCGAATGGTCCGGACTTATGTCGAGTTGGACGACCGTGTGCGGCCATTGGCCATGATAATCAAGCATTGGACGAAACGGAGGATACTGAACGATGCCGGTATGTCTCATGCCGTTATTTCTGGATGGATAACAGATGCGCACAATTTTGGGCTCGTTAGTACTGACCGTCTGAACACAGGGCTCGGAGGCACGTTGAGCTCCTATACGTGGATATGTCTGATAATCAATTTCCTGCAAACACGAGACCCGCCAATTCTGCCGAGCCTCCAGGCTCGTCCGCACAAGAAGAAACTGACGGCGGATGGGATAGTCTGTTCATTCGATGATGACCTCGATTCCCTTGTCGGCTATGGGCGCAAGAACAAGCAAAGCCTGGGGGAGTTACTTTTCCAATTTTTCCGGTATTACGGCCATGAAATCGACTACGAAAGACTTGTTGTATCAGTCCGCGAGGGCAAGCTATTGTCAAAGGAGGCGAAAGGCTGGCACCTGCTACAGAATAACCGCTTATGTGTCGAGGAACCGTTCAATACGTCGCGGAATCTGGGGAATACAGCCGATGATACGTCCTTTCGCGGGGTCCATATGGAACTGCGCCGGGCCTTCCAAGCTGTCTCCGAAGGCAACCTGGAGCACTGCTGTGAACAGTACGAGTATCCGCCCGAGGAAGAACGCTCGTGGGAGAGACCGCCTCCCCAACCGCGACCTGTGATCACTGCAGCACCGCCACCGTCTCGGGGAGGTCGTGGCGGAGGCCGCGGTGGACGGCATTCCAATCAGTTCTCCCGGGGAGGACACTCCGGTGGGCGCCGGGCCTCGAATACGCCGAACAAGTCTAATAATTTCCGCCAACCCAACGGTATGACCGCTTCCGAATTGTCTTTACAGGCGCAACACGCTCAGTACCTATTGCATGACCATCTCTACCAGCAAATCCAGATTCTCCAGGCCCAGGAGCAAGAACTGCGACTCCAGCTGCAGAACCAGGCGCTACTCACTGGGAGGCCGCCCCCTGTCCTCATTCGCCAACCGTTCATTCAATTTCCAATGCCTCAGCAGCAGGAGGCCTCTGGCGACGATAACTCTCGATCCAGGTCTGGAACGGTGAATCACCCATCTCCAAACACTCCGCTGCGCCAGCACGTTTACTACAGCAGCCCTTATCTCCCTGTTGCAGTTCCTGGCGTACAGGGAAGCAATACAAACCCGCCATCGCCGTCAGCCACTACTGCCATGCCGGACCTTCGGCGTAGCCCCCGTCGGTCATCCGTGGCCAATGGCTCTCCGGGCGGATCACTCCGAGCCCACTCGCAGCCGGCGCGGACAGTGAATTCTCTTCCAAGTTTTGCGCCATTATATTCGATCTCTCAGTTGGCGGACAGCTCACCGGGATCGAAGCCACGCAACACCCCAGGTTCTCCGGATGGCACACAGAGCGACGAGAACAATACCTTCATGCCGAGTAGCCTTCCCAACGTGTCCCGCTCCACATACTTTGATGAAGGTCGATCAAATGAGTATCTGGGATATTATATTGCGACCTCGCCGCAGCTACAGACGTATCATCAGAACGCCCTGTTATCGTCTTTATCATCTCCAGTAGGGCTGGCACTGCAGAACGGCGGCATCATGCCGTTTGCCGGTAACCCACAAGACTATCTGCCATCAATGCCAAGTGAACAGGCCGGCCAAGTCTCGGATAGCGGCACTGCACTACCCATGAAGCTCGGGTCAACATCACAGCGTGCAACTTCTCGGTCGGCCGCGTCTGGTGATCGCGGCGGCCCTTTGATTGTGGATGGCTCCGTCCCGCCTAGTGAACAGCGTCTCTCGATATCTGCGGAAGGCTATGACCCGTATACGAGCATGAGCCATTGTACGTCGAACTCAGATGACCTCAATATGGATACGCCTGCGAGTGTCTCAGATTCCTTTTCCCAGGACTATCAAGACAACAGCTCGGTTGAAATTGACCAGACGCCCTACTTTAGTCGACAGGGTGTCGATACGTATCCTACAGCGAAATCAACAGACGTTTATGTGAACGGACACGGCGGGAAGCATAGTCTACTTTCGAGCCGTTTGCAAAGTCTTCACCTGTCAAATGCCGAGAAAACCCCCGAGTCTGCGTTGAAAAATGGATACGAGAAGCCAAAAATGCTCCACACCCACCAAGAAGCTGCTGATAGAGAAAATCCTCGCCCGAGGCAGGTGAATGCAGCGGAAAAGGGGGTAACCGTCGCTGGACCACTGCCTGCGGCGGACTCGCACTCTACATCTAGTGGCAAACGGCGTCCTAACGGCGGCGTGGATGCGTCCGAGCGGGTCAACGGCGTTGCACACAAATCAAAATCCAAGAACCACAATACGTCCGTTGGCGCACCCGAGGCTGAGAAACGCCACACTGCTCCTCAGTCGCGAAAGCCCAATGGGGTCAATCCGGCACAGGACTCGGCTGTCGTTCATACTAGCAGTAGCTGGCAGACGACCAAGAGAAAGCAGAAGAAACATGCCAAACATTCCACAGAGTATAGGCATGGTTTGCACAGTGGTGCGGAGCCACTTCCGGCGGATGAATCCTTAAGAAAAGGCGGCTGAAGATGTCGCATGATATGCCATCGTACGCATTTCCGGTTGTCCTTGCCTTGCATCACGTTTACCAGGCCGGTTTAGCACAAGTCGCACGCCAGTATGTCAGGTCAAGCTGAATGATGGCTGTGCCTGGGGGGAGAAAATCGTCTTCTTACCGGTTACGTCTTTCGCCTGATCAGCATTGCATCACGGCCCTATACTGGCCAGATCGCCTGCAACATGCATGGCTTTTGTACAGCCTGTGCTACGGTTTTCCAATGATTACTTTTTGGGAGTTGAGCTTGAGTATACCAAAAGACCCTTCGACCAACTGAAGGGGTGTTCTGTGGTACTGTATAAATGAGGCGGCATCATCTCCAGCAGATGAGATGATTTCGGTTGCACTTGTTTTTGCTACTTTTATGGAAGTATATGACACTTTTCTTTCCCCATCCTTTGTTTTTTTCTCTTCTTCCTTTTCCCATGTTCCATATTGGCGTTTTGCAAGGTTAAATAACGGAAAATTGGCAAGTCAGGGGGTTTGACTGGTTACCATGGGTTACTTGCGTGAATTGCATACGATATATGTGCCCGGTCCTCTATATTGTTGTTCATTTGTTGTGGTTTCTAACCTTGATGTGGTTTGGAGTTACTCTCAACTCCTTGGGGGTGTGGTTGAGCTTTTCTATCACCCAGGCTGTTGTTGTGCCCATATGTCGTTCCATACGGGCTGTATCATCTACCCCTTGCTTTGCAATTTCGCTGCACGGAGGACGTCAAAAGAGAAAAAGCAGACCGAATGAAACATATCCGCGGAAGCTTGAGATTCAAAAAAAGTCAAAACCACATGGTCTGTATGTGTTGTTATACATCAAAGCTGCGTGCACGATGGCCTGATTGGCCTGTTCCCTCCCCCATTTGTTCACTTCTCACAGGTTGGTACGGTTTCCTTTTCTCGTTTCTGCCGGCTGTGCATTTTTTTTTTCTTGACATTATATTCACTTGGCATGATCGTCGTCATCATTATCATTGTCCATATACCATCATAGCAGGGAGCCAGGCGAGTGGGTTCATGTTGTTCTCTTTGCATCCTTGTTTCGTGCCTGTCGTTGCTGAAAGAATTTGTTCTTGCCTTTGTCACATATCACGTCGGTCAGGGTTGGGCAATGGGTTCGGATGTAGATGTTGGAATTTACATACAATAGAGAAAGAAGAAGAAAAAAAAAGATCAAAAGTTTTGATAAGTTTCAGCGTGGTTTGTTTTCATAGATCATATAGCGAAAGACTATTTTCTTGGGGGAAGTCTGGTTGTCTGGGTCAAGCATGCAATTCGCTTGATTTAACGACATACATATACAGTTTATTGAAGTGTCTCGAAATGTGACGAGGTCATGCATTTCGAGCTAGAGACTACAGAGAGAAAGAAAAGTAGTATATAAAAGTTTTGCAAGAAAAAGGTTGGGAAAGTCCTAATAGTACAGCATAAGAAAGAAAAAAAGGCAATTAAAAAATATGTGACGAGAAAGTGGAACAGTAATGTATGTATGTACGGGTCATGGCTCTCCGTGAATGAAGCACAAACATGCATCTCATGAAACGACTCGACCCCATCTTGGGTCCATTAAGTGATAAGAGGGATGAGGAGGGGGATGGATGGATGGCAGGGTGGATGGCTGGATGACATGCTGGGAGGATGTAGTCGAGGGATTTGCTGGTTTAGCAAAATGCTTCTATCAGCATGTAAGGGAAGATCACGACGCATGCTGTCCAGAACACCATGATGCAGTGGAACAGAGCCAGGGGGAACTTGTATATGGGGGAATTGGTGATGACGAGCCAGAGGGAAAGAAAGGCGACACTGAAGAAGTGCCAGAATAGGACGGCGGGCTTCTTGATCAGACCGCCCAGGAGACCTACGGGACCGCTGGTCATTCCTAGTTCGAAGTAGCGGAAGCAGCCTCGTTGGAGAGCACGGAGGTTCTCATCTGTTGGGGAATTGTGAACGTTAGCTAGAGTTCTTGGTACGTTTGATGGAGAGAGGGGAAGGGCTATGGAACGAACCATTGGCAGCGAACAGGGCATACAGGGCCTGGGCTAAGATGTTGATGACAGAGGATCCCTTCTTCCGTTGCCAGTGGAACGAAGACAGCTGCTGTAGGACTTTTCGGTGATCCGCAAAGCTGGGGACCTTCTCCGGACTCAGCAGGTCACGCAGAACCACGACATCGTTGAAAGCGACAGTCATTCCTCCTCCGGTTAGGGGGTGCCGCATGTTGAGAGCATCGCCCAAGATGACTAGACCTGGGGTCTTGTTTTGTGCGCTGGGGAGATATGAATTGGGCATAGAACGCAGCTGGCCCTTTTCTAACGCAGCAATGAAGGAAGGCTGAATTGACTTGGGAAGAGAAGGTAGGACGACATTGCGAAGGTGGCCCTTGACGCCGCCATTCTTAACGGATGCCGACGGGAGGTTCTCCGGGATGTCGATAAGGATGCGGGTTTCATGGGTGCCAATTTGGTACACGAGAATAGGGGCATTGTCGCTCAGAAGGACATGGCCGTGGTAAGGCTTGGGAAGGTCGGCATCGATCAATTCCAAGCCCCAGAACCTGGACCGGACCTTGGGGGTGTTGGAGTGGTATTGTTTGCGGAATTTCGAGGCATAGCCGTCGGCCACCACCGTGAGATGGCCAAAGTAGCAATCCTTCATGTCCTTGGTCACACACTCGACTCCAAGAACCTGCTTGGTGTGAGAGCAAGTGACCAATTCCGTAGCCTTGGTCTCCACGACCGTCACGTTGGGACACGCCAGCGCGGCCGCGCGCAGTTTCATGACAAACCGGCCATGGTGGAAGCAACGGCCTTGCGGAGGCGGCGACGACGGCGACGACTTGGGATACGCGAACGACACCGGCTTGCCAAAGTAGGACACGTAGTAGCCAGTAACTGGGATTGCGTCAATGTCTTCCAGACAACCAGCAAGGCCCAGCTTCTCGAGGGCCTCGACGCCGCCAGGTTGCAACAGCTCTCCGACGATGCGGTCAGGCTCCTTCATGGAATTCTCCAGCAGCAGAACGCTGCGCCCCTGTTTTCCAAGTGTCACGGCCAGTGCGCATCCCAGAATACCGGCGCCCACAATCACGACATCGGCATGGTGGTGGATCAGCCGGCGTTGTTTGGCCGCATCGGCGGAGGGGGTGGCATGGCCATTGGCGACGGCGGTGGCCATTGTGCGGGAGGGAGACGGCGAAAGGAGGTCAAAATCGACAGGGCGGGCAGAATTGGCAGGGGGCGCAGGGCATATTTTGTCTGCGAGGGGATTAGGAGCAGAAGGAGGAGTAGATAAGCTGCGCCAGAGCAGGCAGAAAGGAGGCTAAGGAGGAAAAAGTTGCAGGTTGGAATGAGGGAGATGGCCGCGAGTGTGGCGTGACATGTGAAAAGGGCCCCGGCGGCCGCTAGCCAACCCGGGCACCGTACGATGCGGGTGCGGCCACTCTTTATCTACAGTGTATGGTACCTGGTCGGAGGGATCTAGATTCTTCGCTCCAGACACACGCCGGGGAACGTCGCTAATATACACAGATCGCCGGATTGGTCTATTTACATAAGAACACAAAGGACACAAGATAAAACAATATCGAAGTGAAGTACACATCCCCCCAATTTCCCTCCCCCTGCCGTCCCCAATTACAGCAAATCCTCGACGTCGCGAATCTGTCCCAGGCAGTGCTTCTCGCTCCAGCGAAGCGCAATGGATTTGGGGTCGATATCAATGCGGCCTCGCACGGCCTCCAATTCATATTCCTCATCCCATCCCTCAATCGTTTCTGGAAGACGCGCCATTTCGAACAGCTGTGTCTCATCTAAAGGTCGTTTCAGCATCTGGCGACCAGCCCTTTTCACCTTGGGGTTGGTCTTGAGCTGCCACACCTGGGCATCGCCATTGCTTTTCTTTTCTAGCAGTTCAGTGGCGTAGGCTAAATATTCCACCTTTTCTCCCTGCCTAGATACGTCTTCCGTCTCGGCTGCCGTGCTTAACTGACGACGCAAGACGGCAATGACCCGGCGGGCTTCAATGACAAAGTCTTGATTGAGTGCGCTCCCTCGGGCAAGCGCGGTCAGGATGCACCATCGGACGCCGGGAATATTGTCGCTCGCCGCAAATGCACGCAGGAACATCTTCATGCAAACTCCGTCAAAGGCCAAGGAGTGCCGGAAGCGGGACATGTAGACGGCTGCCAGGAGTTCGATGGCCAGCTCGGGTTTCTTCACGGCGACCAGCCGCCTGCTGGTCGCGACCGTGATGTGGTGCTTGACTGTCATCTTCTTGTTCGACCAACAGAGCTCGTAGAAACGAAGGACGGCCATGTTGATTAGCTCCCCTTCGGCGTCGGGATTCACTTCCATGATTTGGCGGAAAAACCGAGGGAAGTATTGAATCAGATGCCGAATGTTTCTCCATTCCGCATCAATCAGCTCTCGAGCCGCCATGAGGCCATCTTCGAGCAATGTGCAAATGACAGCCAATTCAACATGAAGTTGCTTGACTTGAAACCGTGCGTTTTTGGCATTCTGAAAGCACTTGAGGGCCTCTGTCAGCTTGCCAACATGCATGTAATGCACCATCTGCTTGTGAAGCTTCTGATATTGGTCAACCGGCCTCGACGGTGTCATGTGTTGCATCGATCGTTGGTACCAGGGTAGCGTGCTCTGTGTATATGGCATCAGGTTGACTTCCGGGACGGGGAATGAACGCTGGTCATATCCGAGCACATGCTGTGAAGTAGCGGCTTGTCCGTATTTCGATCGCGCCGCTTGCAACATCTGCCAAAATCCCACGGGTGCTTCCTCAAGAGCATGACGACGGGCTCGTAACATTTCCAAAAAATCTCGATCGTTGATGTAGGTCGGCCAGCGGCGGGCACGTGCAAACCGTAGGAAGTCATCGACCATGTCCTTGTCCCCCTTTTCCACGAACGCCTCCAGGATGTGTTTGTAAAGAATCTTATCAGGGACCAACTCGAAGTCGCGGATGTAGCGGTAGACGAAATCACGGATCTCGACACCCGAATGCGACACCCAATATTCTAGGAAGATGCGATCAAAAATCGGTGTGAAGTCAAACCGTCTCGAGGTCAGCTTAAGCTCATGCATCTCCCGTAAACCAGCATCCACGCCCTCCCAGTCGCAGCTCAAGGCCTTGCCAAATACCAGAAGACCTTTGGTTCGGCAACGCAGGGGGATGCCGTAAGTGGTGGTCATCTCTTTCACTAGAGCTTCGGCATCCGCAAGCCGACCAAATTCCACATATGCTTTGATCACCGGGTTAAAGAGTTTGTCGGTCGGTTCCTTCTGCAACCGCGGAAGTATCGTTAATAATTTTTTCAATTGCCCATTCAACAGCTCGATGCTCCTTGTTTTCTTCCATAACCCTGTAAGATATGCGCCACACAGACCACAGCCACGATCAACATCAAGGTTTCGAAGAAGAAACCATTTGGCGGTGGTGAGTCTATGAGACTCGAGCAGGCATCGGAGCACAATATCAACCATCTCCGGAGGAACCTTAAACCTGTGCATATATCGAGTGAAGATAGTCGCGACAGATTCGATGTTGCCCTTTCTTGCCAATGCGAACATCAGGATCTTCCACATGCTATTGGACACTTTGTCCACCTCTTCTAGGCGCTCGAATATGTTCCGTGCAACCATTACGTTTTCCTCCTTGCAATTGGCGTACATGGTCTTGACCGCGAGCTCCCGCCTGTCCGAAGATATACCCTTTAATGTCGCGGGATGTGCATCCAAAAATAAATGGGCAGCATCGATGGGCCGGCCACGGTCGAGAAGCGACTGCATTTGTTCCGTGACGGATGGTTGCTCTTGGGGCGTGTCCACTGCCTCATTTCCCACCGCGTCGTTGTTCGTGCTATTAGTTGTATGTGCAAGGGTGGCTTTCGCTCGGTCCAGGGCATCCGTCGATCGTATTAAATTAGGAGGAAGATCGTTCAATAGTGGGGAGTTCACTGGCTCCTGTCCGGGGTGAAGCGAGTCAATTATCCTCAAGCGCGTAGCATCAAGAAAAGACACTGCAGGGGCTGGAGATTCTTGGTCTTCCAAGCGAACATCCGAGCTCAAATTGTCACCATGCATGTCAGCCTCGGCTGGAAGAGCTTGCGCTTCTCGTAGTCTCCGGTCCTGCTCTTTCAACGATTCCAAGCCCATAAACTCTCCAGCTTCAGCCGCCTCCATCATACGTGCAAGTCTTTTTGCCGCAGACGTTGCATCGTAATTTGGCGCGGAGGTCTGAAGGGCCCGCTTATTCTCGATTATTCGTTCCGCAACGCGCACTCGACGATGCACGTCGTACGTGATAGCTGCAACCGTACAAAAGCTTCCGACAGTCGACCCTGCCAGAGCCAGCCTGCGGAGGACACGCAGGGCATTCCGTGAGGGAACGGCCGGGGTACCGTTGGTGGATTTGGAGACCATGGTAATTCACCCTGCGCACCGCAGACAGCGGGCTTGATCGGATCACTACTGAACCATCAAATAAAAATAGGGTGTAAGGGTTCAATGCTGAAGGGAGCGTTGGGGACCCAGCGCCGGTTGGTCAATTGGGACAACTGGAGTCAGTGCTGAAGCAGGAGTGCTTCGGGGCTTTGCTGCGGAAAGTTTGCAACAGCTCGGCCGAATTGGCTTCTACCGCCCGCCGTACGGGATCCGGTCTTTTCCCGAGTGAAGCCACCCCTCTACGCCGCTTCTCGGACTTCCGTACGGCTAGTCGCCTACAATATGCTCATCTCCAATTGAGGGGAGTACAACTTCGCAGGCAATTTTCACTTATCTATGACGCTAACCTTGAAGACAACTATTACCAACGGAGACCAAGTCTAAATTGGCCGAAAAGATGCGGCAACCACTATCGGTGGATAGTCCGACTGCCGAGTAAGTAGTAGAGATAGCAGATGCTTACTCCGGAGGCTTAAAACCCCCTTAGAGCACAGGGTCAGCCAAAACCCCCTCTTCGTTGGCCTCCTCGTGAGGCCTGCCGGGATAAGAGTCGTCCAGACGGACTACCAAGCGCGCGAATCGTAAGTAGATGTTTCCTAGCCAGTAGAACGGGGTCACATACCATGTGGTTTAATGTAGAAACTGCCACCAAAAGCAAGCCCGAACAAAGCTCCCAGGCAAACAAATATTGCTGGGGTGAATTTCCCCACCGTCAGGCTGTAAAGGAGGCTGCAAACGGTTGGGGCAACTACTCGAGCGAGAGCATGCAAGAGACCTTTTGCTCCAAGGATCTGCCCTAACCGTTCACGAGGTACATGTTTCGTGAGGGATGACTGCAAGGTCGGGATTGCCATGCCTCCGAGCGCTGTGACTATACCCGAGCAGACCATGACAGAGCTCTGATTCGACATTGCATATCCAGCATAACCGACCATCTCTAACAGAAGAGAGATCCGTATAAGAACGACCTCGCAAGTACTTGAGCCGGAAACGATATGCTCTGGTTTCGGCGGTTCACGAAAAATCGCTGTCACAATCGGATACACAACGAAGAGGTTGACGACCCGAGCGATACTTACAATCGATATAAAGACGCTCGATTCGACATTTCCCCAGCCGAATTTATACTCGGCATAGATGATGACCACTTGAGCGGTCCCCATCGCGACACCAAATACAATGGTGTCTATTGCGGTAAGAAGAATGATGTTTCTTCGCAACGCCGGACTCGCACCGTGGCGGTTAGGAAACAGGGCACTTGGACGTCCAACTGGCGGGAACAAGACAGATAAAGGAGTTATTAATCTTTTGGGGTTCAAGTTTTCCAGAGAGAGCCAAACGGCCTCCCCCTCAATAGAGACCTTTCTCCGGTGACTGTCGCGTGAAATATGCTGTCGTCCCTTAGGCAATGATTCTGGAACGACGGTCAAGAACGCTATAAAGTAAAGCACATGCAATGCCAGAGACGCATTGAAGGTACTGAGTGCTTGGCCTGTTTTCTTGATTAGTACAGCTGCAAGCATTGGCCCAGCTGCGACTCCGGCGAAAAGGGAACCGTATAGGTACCCGAATGCCGCACTGCGTTTCGATGGAACAGTGCAGTCGGATGCATAAGACATCGTCAACGCCATTATAGTGGTAAAGGAACCACATAGACCGTCCACGACTGCAGCAAGTAGAAGCACATTCACCGACACAAGGTCCGGTCTAGCTGCGACAAAGACGGTGATGGCTTCTGCCAAAACTGTCCCAAATCCACTAAGGGCCAGTATCTTCGTCCTACCGTAGCGATCAGATAGATGGCCCAGCCTCGGGCAGGCTAGCGCAGATAGTACACCTGCCAACAGATTGAAATATAGCTGGAATTGGGCAAGTTGAGACTGGACCTCAGGCGTCTGGCATTGCGAATTATGATTCCCAATGATAACAGGGAGATACGTGAACCCTGGATCCTGAGTCGCCTTCCTAGCCATGTAGTCCCTGCAGATGAGAGACATCATCAGGTTGATCTTGGGAACCGCAGTACCACCAACTCCTAGCATGTAAACTACGAGGAATGGAAGAACCCAGAGGATCTATGGCGTATCAGAACTCGGCAATTTGGACGTTGTCTACTCAGCGCAACAGGAATACTCACGCTCGGGCTTCTGCAAATCCGCCAAAAGCTTTTCGGATCGGCGGCAGCATTATCCTGTGGTTCGGCTTGGCCCTCATGGTCCGATTCGAGGTCTTCATTGTCTTGTTGCAATAAGGGGGTTCGCTCATGGACGTGGGACGGGATAGTGCCTCTCCGGTTGCGTGGACCAGCATCAACAATTGGCGGCCCGGATTGCGAATCCCCATCAACCTCGGTATGCCTGGCAGGGGGTGCGTCACCCTCCATAGTTGGTACGCTGCGAGCCATTTTGCGTAAGGATCAGAAATGTTATATTGAGCAAAACAGATTGGCCGCTACATCTGCCTGCTCTGGGTGAAGGAGTACCGTATGGATGTGTCAGGCTCAGAACATTTGAGAGGGGAAGTGATGTAGCGGGAAAGGAAAGGACTAAGATAAACCCAGGTCGCTTATCAATCGACATGAGACGGACGACAGTCCAGCACCGCTAGTAGGGAGAAGGTCCCCGTTCGATGGGGCCAGCGAATGTTCATGCTGGGGGACTTAGGAGGTGACGTGACTGGAGCGCCAGCCTGTGATTGTTTCAAGTCCAGGATCCGCCACTTGCATTCTCCAAGCAAGGCAGCCGTGAGGCTTGGCGATCAGGACTGATAACCGCGGGTTTGGACCACTTACAACCCTCGACGCGCGATCCCCCCTATCTACATCCCCTACTACTTAGTGAAGCAACTCCCGCATCAGAGTGTATCTGAACAATGACAACGCATTGTTCACTGCCAGATTGGTCGCCGTGTCGAGCTCCATAGATTGTATATACTATTGTACATTTTAATGCCAGCCACCCCCGTGGAACCCTTATCAGAACGAAGGTGTCGCACCCAACAACTTAGACGACCAGAGAAGCATCCTTTTCACCAGCAAAGAACTTCTTCTGCTCTAGGCACCGCTCACTCTTGCAGCCTTGACAGCGCAGTGTCATTTGCAGAGAGCACTTCTCGCCCTTACGCAAGTGCTCTTGAGCGAGATCTGCAAGAGCTTGTATGAACAAGGGGCTGCCGTTCAGACTCTCGGCCCTCTTGACTCCTGGATGATTTGCCTCCTCCATCACTTCAAGGTCCAACTCATACAGTGTCTCAATGTGATCGCTCGTGAATGCGATTGGTACGAGGACGATGTCAGTCTGTCCACGCTTAACATACTCCTGGACTGTATCGCTCGTCTGCGCCCCCAGCCAAGCTCTTGGCCCGACCTGAGACTGCCAGCATAGTCGGTATGGGTTGCTGAAATTGAGCCTCTGCATCACCGCATGGACAGTCGCAGCGACTTCAGCCGGGTACGGATCACCTGAAGAAAAGGGGTGTGGCATTAGATATCTACTGGAACACCTCGCTGAGACCTCTTCTGACTCACCTCTGTTCACAACACTCATCGGCAAACTGTGGGCCGAGAATAAGAGAACGACGCCATTTCGTTTCTCCTCAGGGTAGGTCTTCAGTTGATCCTCAATGTTTTTCGCAAAAGCCTCCACCAGACCGGGGTGCGTGGGCCATCGATCGATAACGCTCCATTGGATCGACCCAGAATCGTCCACATTACCATTGGCTCGCTTACCCTCCAGCCGATTCCTCCATTTCCACAACTCATTCAAAGAGCTACCTGTAGTGGAACAAGAGTACTGTGGGTATTGCGAAAAGGCAACAGCACGTCCGCCTTTACCGTTGCCAAAACCGTCTTCAAGCAATCTTGTATACATGTGCTCCGTTAAAGGTGATGCATAACGAAATGCAACATACGGTTTATGAGGTGCAGTCTCCGGGTTGATTTTGTCCAACAGCTTGCACATTTCCTCGCATTGGTATTCCGACCACTTCCTGATGGGTGAGCCCCCGCCAATGTCTGAGTATTGCTTTTGAATTTTGGGCGTTCTTCTTTTCGCAATGAGAGGCCCGAGGTATGTCTGGAATTTGCCCAGCGGGATTAGGTCACCGTCGGCCTGGAGGAAGAGTAGATATTAGAGATGCAGCAGCAAAGCGGCCGTTTTCCATTGCCAGAGACATACGAAGAGTCTGCTAAGGAAATCCTCCACTTCGTCTGTCGTCGAGGGTCCTCCCATGTTCAGGAAGACCATTGCCGTGGGGCCCTTAGAGCCAGTTGCATCTTGGGTGACTGGCGGAACTGTGGTTGCGAGTCCGCGTCTTTGTTCCTGGCTATATCCGAAGGGGGTGCGAGTTGCCGGTCGCAGCAATTGCCGGGGCAGAGCAAATGGACGGCGGAGAGCCATGGCGGTTGTTACTGTAATCTCCTCGTAATCCAAGCAATGGACATACAGGAAAGAGTCTTTTGTATTGCGAAACCAGTCGGTCACTCTTTAAGTGCGCATCGGTGGTTGAAAGGGACGAGTGGGCTGAGGAGAGTGGCGAGGACAACTTGTACGATGCAGCCAGGCGTTATGGAAGCCGAAAAGTCCAGAACGGCTTGATGACGGAGCGTCGATGGGGTTAACTCCGAGGACCAATGGGCCAATTGGAGGCCCCCGAGCGTCATCAACTCTCGGCCTCAATCACATGATGTTCGTGTCTCCCCCGCGTCTCTGCCGGTCGGGCCATCGCGTCACCGCGACCGGAGGTAGATCGTTGGTACTTGGTTCATACTCTGTACTAGGCCCCCGACTGCAGGCAGCAAAGGCCAGGCCAGGCAGGCAGAACTTCATTCCCTTGTCCCTTATCACCTTTTGCAACCCCCATCCTTCTTACCTTTCCCATGCTACTCCCTTGGATGACTTGACCGATTCTACGACATTCAGTATGGCGGACGGTAACCCACACCGGGAAGACGACGCAGTGGAGGAGGAAGAGGAAATCGATGAGACCGTATGCACATCCGCACTTTCTCGCAACGAAATGTTTTTGAACTCGTTGGGGCTGACTCACATGTTCAGAGCTACAGATCAGTGAAAGATGCCGTTCTCTTCGCTATCGATGTCAGCGACTCCATGTTGAGCCCTCGTCCCTCAACAGATCCCAAGAAACCAATACAAGAATCGCCCACAACTGCGGCCCTTAAATGTGCCTATCATTTTATGCAGCAAAGAATTATATCCAACCCACAAGACATGATGGGTATTCTGTTATATGGGACGCAGGCGTCCAAGTTCTATGACGAGGATGAAGACAGCCGAGGCGATCTCTCCTACCCCAACTGCTACCTCTTCACTGACCTGGACGTTCCGTCTGCACAGGAGGTCAAAGATCTTCGAGCACTGGTAGACGATGAAGGAGAATCAAGGGATGTTCTTTCTCCAACAAATGAGCCAGCCTCTATGGCAAACGTCCTATTTTGCGCCAACCAGATATTCACATCAAAAGCGCCAAATTTTCTCTCTCGGCGATTGTTCATTATAACAGACAATGACAACCCTCACGGTGATGATAAATCTCTACGATCCGCAGCAACTGTACGTGCCAAGGATCTCTACGATCTCGGCGTCACTATTGAACTATTCCCAATTTCACGACCTGGGCATGACTTTGATAACTCCAAGTTTTATGACGTAAGCTATCATCCTCTTTCTGTGACTGATGGTTCTTTCTAACTCAAGGCGCGAAGGATATCATCTACAAAACATCGCCCAATGATCCAGAGGCCCCTGCTTATCTGCAATCTGATCCGAAGGCATCGACAGCAGCCGGGGATGGAATTTCACTTCTCAGCACGCTTCTGTCTAGCATTAACTCAAGGACTGTTCCGCGCCGCACTCATTTCTCGAACATGCCGTTGGAGCTTGGGCCCAATTTCAGGATCTCTGTCTCAGGCTATATACTCTTCAGACGGCAAGAGCCCGCTAGAAGCTCCTTTATCTGGCTTGGTGCCGAGAAGCCTGAAATCGCCCAAGGGACCACCGCTTTAGTTACGGACGATGACTCCCGGCCGGTTGAGAAGTGGGAAATTAGGAAAGCTTATAAATTTGGCGGCGATCAGGTTACCTTCACAGCTGAGGAACAAAAAGCGCTCAGAGACTTCGGTGAACCAGTGATCCGGATTGTGGGCTTCAAGCCCATCGCTGCCCTTCCGTTCTGGGCGAACGTGAAGCACCCATATTTCATCTATCCATCCGAGGAAGACTATGTGGGATCCTCGCGGGTGTTTTCTGCTTTACATCAGACTCTTCTACGTGACAAGAAGATGGCACTTGTCTGGTTCATTGTACGCAAAGGTGCTGGTCCAGTTCTCGCTGCTATGATTGCGGGCGAAGAAAAGACCGATGAGAACGGTGTACAAAAGTACCCTCCCGGGATGTGGATTCTGCCCCTTCCTTTCGCCGATGATATTCGACAAAACCCCGAAACCAGCTTGAATGTGGCCCCGGAACCACTGATTGATCAGATGCGCGTAGTCATCCAACAATTACAACTCCCGAAGGGATTGTACGAGCCTCTCAAGTACCCAAATCCATGTAAGCATTGTTTCACGCCCTCCCGAAGTGTGATCGAAGAAACTGATAACCTATGGTCAGCCCTTCAATGGCATTACCGCATACTACAGGCCCTTGCATTGGACGAAGATCTTCCCGAAAAGCCCGAAGATAAGACTATTCCTAAATATCGTCAAATTGACAAGGTATGTCTATTACACTCACAGTCTATACTCTACCCTAAGCGGATCTTGCTAACAACCGTATCTTAGCGTGCCGGGGACTATGTCTTGTCCTGGGCCGATGAGCTTGACAAGCAATACGCAAAGGTCTCGGCAGCGGCCCCTCGTCCCACAAGCACCCTTGTTAAAAGAGGGGCAAAGGATCGAGCAAGCGAACAGGGCGATGATGGAACCAGCAAGCCATCAAAGAAGGTCAAGGTCGAGGAGGGCTCAGGTGGCTTCGAGGAAGAGGTTCGCAAACATCACAAGAAAGGCACTCTATCCAAGGTAAGCATATACCGTCATGATAATATCAGATACAATCGGGTTAACGAGCGGTCAATCCAGCTTACGGTCGCTATCCTGAAGGACTTCTTGACCTCCCATGGACGCTCGAATGCTGGAAAAAAGGCAGATCTTATTGAGCGAGTGGAGGAGTTCTTGGAGGCATAGCGCTCTTAGATACGTCCTTAGACAGCCTTCGGTAGCTGTGACCTCGCATGCTTTCACGACACGCTTGATACATCCGCTGGGTTGACGCAATTGAGAGTTTGCCTCCCCAATTAAGCATGCATAGATCTCGTAGATTCTTCATTGATAGCACGACTTCCATACCCTACCACCCCAAACCAACTTCCAAGCAAAATTACCCCCTTTGAAATAAGAACAAGGTAGTACAAGGAAGAATCACAAGACGCTTATGTGCATATTCATCCTAGATGAAACAGACATCAAGATGCACCAGAAACGGCAGTCAGACGATAATGGTCATGGTTAAGCCAGCCGAGTTTCCTGCTCCTGGCTGCAGAGACTATAGTAGTATGTTGGGTATGAAACAAGTCAAGTAAACGAGCAGTCCCTGTAATAACGCCATGCTGTAATGTGTATCCAAACCCGGGCGATCAAGCCACCAAAATCGATAGAGACAGAAGAGCAGTACGTCCGAAAAGAAAGCCGTCGTGGTATGTACATATAAATTTCGAATGAAATGGAACGTAATGGTGGTAATGATGTGCTCGATGGTCAGCATCGTCCATAGACTTGACAATAGCAGACTTCTTCATCAGGGCAGCTGGTGGTTGGAAGTTAGTTCAGTTGCATTCAGGAGGACAGGAAGGATGGGGGGGGAACGGGTGGGACCACATACTATACTGATTCTCTGCCAAAGATGACATGCCATAGGAATTCCATGACCCGACCACTGCTGGCGTCATCCTTGTCTGTATCAATAATCCACTGACGAATCTTGATGTAGTCGTCGCGTGGTCGTTCGAGAACCTGCTCTCTCGACACAGCGAATTGCGCACAGCACGACGCAGCAATCCGTTTGGGCATTTGCAAGAATTTCTGATTCTGTGCCAGCTCAGGATGGTCTTGCATTGTCGAGGTACCTGTCAAGTTTAAGGGTGGGGTGCTGGTGCCCTCAAAGATCTCTGTGAACACTTCTTCGGTCACATGTCGGTTGGTGCGATGGTCCTGCTTGCACCCGGGGTTCCAATTGCAGCGTAGATTGACATAGCCATTCTGTTGGACAAAGTCAAGTTGTAGGTCTCTCATCGCAAGGACATTATCGTGCAAAGGGGCATCTACATGCCATGCCATCAGAAAGCCCGAGCGGTGGGAGTGGAGAAAGGCAATGGTAGACGGTAGGTTGTCGTAGTTATCGATGAGGTAGGTTAAGTAGGCCATAGATTCGTGGCCCTTGTTCAAAGGGGTTGTGAGTTGTGTGCTGTCGGCCGCGGCTGCTTTAGAGGGGTTCACGATATATATAGCTCGTTGCCAGCTTTAGGAAGAGACAGGATCAGTGGCTGAGATACATAACCCTAGACAGCGGCACTTACTCGGGTAGTTCTTGCTCGACCCAGTCAGTGTGCTCCTCCTGTAACTTGGCCATCACGATCACTTTATCTCCTTGCTCAATTCGTTGAGGGTAAAGTCTGTCTCTGCTGGGGGGACCCCTATTCAGCCAATCAATCACATACGCGCCGGCGTGATACTGATCGCAGAGGTCTGCCAGATGAATTTTCAAGAGGTATAACGGCAAGAGCAATGGCAGACAAGCACACAAAGCAACACGAGCGCCCCATCTCATGGTGGATTGCTGATGGCCAGCACCTTTTGCCTGCTGCAGAGGGGTTTTCCAGAACAAGTTAGTCGAAAGTCAACGAGGGCGTGCACTGGAGGGGCGCGGTCGATGCAGGGCAGTTCAGTCTCACGGGGTGCGGCAGGTCTGAAGGAATGTGTTGGTCACAAAGTTGGGAACCCTAAACCAATCTCTAGAACTCAGATGGGAAATGAACGAGTGACAGAGTTGGAGTGCGGAAGATGGCAAAGAATGGGATAGGGCGTTTCCGAGGATCCAAAAGGAGGGCAGGCCTGGGGTTGGGGGGGGAAGAGATATATGCCAACCCGACCATACTGCGAAGGGAGGGGGCGAAGCGAGCAGGATGAGACAGACAGTAGTCTACTGGCTTTCTTAGATCGCTTGGTAGACAGTCTAGGGTAGGTACTAGGCACCCGACTGCACGCTAAGTTGGAACGCTTTCTCCCACCTTTCTTTCTCCGTTTCTGTCTCTACTGCCGACATTCGACATTCGTCTGTTTCCCCTCTAATCCACTCCATCACGGAGTAGGCAATTTCCATGGGCGCGGGATGAAAGAGTGGAGCCCAACGGACCCCCACAGGCCGGCCACGCGTTAACATCGTTGCTATTGTTTGGCAGTTGGCTGTTTCTCTCAGGGACAATCACAAACCTTAAGGGAACCACTTTCACTTAGCGGCCTTAGCGGGGAAGCTTGGCAGCCGCCAAAATTTCCTAGCGCCGAGCACGGGGTGGGCTTTGTGGACTAGAGGACTGGCTCCAATTACACCTGCATGCCAAGCCACCCCCAATGCCACTCGAAGTAACCGTCCGCCTCCATCCATACTACTATGGCAGACAGTACAGACGCCTATCTAGTAAGTAGCGTCTATCTACCCTAGTGCTTACTCCATACCTAATTTTCCTAGATTTCCTTCGGGCTTGGAGTCTGCAACTGATCGCGCGCACTCGACGAGCAACCTCTCGTCCAAGCCTTTCTCTGGAAAAGGACTAGAGATCGACACCTCCTATGCCCTGGGTTATGTGTTCCAACCACGGACCGCGTGTGGGTGACGTCGCGGGGGCCATTGCGCGTACCTGGGCACCACTAATATTTCTGTCTAATATCGTATCTCGCAGAGACGACGTTATCTGCCATGGTTCGCATCTCTCAGCCACAAATCGGACGGATCATTCCACACTTCGGTTAGATTGTCTGGCGTCACGGCTGGCAGTCTCCGGATCGGCAGCACCGTTTCCCACATCCTGGCCGGTGTGGATGCTCAGTACAATGTAATGGAACGCTGAGCCGAGCATGGAGCGGCAGATAGGTGACACGAGTACCTTGCCGGTCAGCTGGGTCCTGTCTATCTGCCTGATGGAAAATGTATTGTGCGCAATGTTCCGCGTGTTTCTCCGCTGATAAGACTGCCCCCAGTCGGGGAAATTGTCGCTGGGAACACCTGGCGACTCGGGTTTAATTTCCTTGTTATCACGCCCGCAAATTCATTCTCGGTTCATATTCTCGGTTTCTTTGCCGCAATTTCATCGTTCTCTCATCCCACTCTCGGATCAGCTAACCTTTTCTTACTTTGTACGTTCAGTATTGACAGCGCCACCCTGACAATTGCGGGTAGTCTTTTGTGAACTTCAGCCTACTGTACTCCGTAAGCTAGTGTCTATATCTAAAATTATCGGACGACGGCCTGTACAAGATCTAGCCTGGCCGAAAGTGGGCGCGCGGGGAAGCTTTCATCTTTCCAGAAAGATACTATTCTGGGTGCTACTTAGGAATCGGGCCCGTACTCATTACATCTGGCAGGGATGACACCACTACCAGAGCATTGCTCTTGTACCCCACCAATCGATAATAAATGGAGAACTAATAGAGATAGAGGATTGATAGGTTAATATTTTAAATCCATTTTCAATGTGCGATAAGAATTTTGGAGGGGAGACGGAGGTATTATCTCTCGCTGGATCTTACCAGCGAGAACCTCGACACGAGGAAAAGGATATTTTCGGGGACGAGGGCATTGAATTACATCGTACTGGAATGACTTTCCCCCAACAATTACGTGCACTTCCTTACAATGAAAATTAGTTGGTAATAGTTTTGTGAAATCCCTAGTGACTCCTGCTATCTAGGTGCTCATTTTGGCGGACAGCACCTGATTAAAGGAACTTTAGGTTACAAGGTGTCTGATGAATGAATGCAGCCCTTTCGTGGGTGACTATATATAATTGCTGGTAGCATTACCGTATCAGCTCTGCAGTCCTGCCTGTGCCATTAAAAGCAGTAGCCAAATTCTGTTTGCAAATTATTGCTTTACCAAGCAGTGTATTGCCGGCACGGTACTCTTAAGCATGGATTTCCAACCATCCACAGGACAAATATACATATGTCTTGCCTTCAATTGTTATACTTCGTGAACCTAGCGTAGGTCAAAGATTTTTACCTCTGGGTTAGAGAGTACTAGCAGCTTATATAATAGATTCAACACTATTGCTCGCGCTTCAAATATTACACTACGGAGCACATTGGGAATATTGTTCAGTTCCCGATGATTCCAGCCCAGGGGGGTTCAAGAAGTGGGTTGGCACAGTTTTCACCAAGACAACACTGTCGACAGAACTCGGAGATCCCCAGTGATGCAGCATAGTGGTACTGGTAACTATCTGGACATCACTGCTTTGATAGTGATGGTGATGCAGGCTATGACGCTCATCCTTACGGAGAGGTCTGTAAACCCAATATGTATCACTGATACCCCCTAGAGAATAGGGGAGTTATTCCTTAAGACCTGCTAGTAGTGTTTAACAATACCAGTATTAGGAGACATATGAAAGCGTGGTCGCAAAAACAAGGCAGACAGGCCCATGTCTATCAAGGGTATTTGACTCAGAGCTATACGAGTGAAGCATCAATTGATTCGAGACTATTAATATTACTGGATCAGATAAGACACAGCCCGCATTGATCTTAGTGATGGGGTAGGGAAGCCCAAACAAGTGCACACAGTGGAATTCTTATCATCACAATCAATCAGATAGCGCATGGGCTCTGAGTTCTCCTGATTCTTTCTAATTTTGCATTTCGATCACAAAGCCAGTAACAACCAGGTGCAATTCCTCGATGACGGCCTCACTTTAGGGTGATAAGGGACTGGATTGTGACAGATTGGGTTAATATGCAGCCATCCCTGAAATACCAAGCTGCTGGGCTTCCACTGAGTGGTATTGGCCGCATCTTCGAAGGGAAGGCAGGAAGGATGGTGAGCGTTTAGCATTCCTCTGCCCAGGATCACATGATACTTGGACTCGATGGGTGTCAGGTGACCATGGGGAAAGGAGGCAACCGAAATTAAGGCATACATATGCAAATTGAGCAAACAGCCACCCAAACAAGCCTAGTACGTACTACCGCTTGGGTTGAATGGTTACGCGTGGGACGGTATTATTTCCGGGTAGTCGGGGATGTTGTTGTTGTTGTGATCATCAGGTCACACCCTCAACTTAATTGTTTACCTACACCTGCGGGAGGCTTAGTCTTATAACTATCCTTGTGGACATCCGAATAACCTTCTTTGTCCTTGTTCGGTTCCCAAGGGAGCTAACTGATGACAGACCCCTAGTCCGGTAGATCGTGACCTACCCCCATCGCCGGTCTCCATGCTTGTGTATCATTCTTGTTGTGGTATCGATCCAGATCCCTGACGGGCCCCTCCTCCAAATCGGCCAGCGTTGCCATTACGTATCCGATCAATTAATGATTCAGGCATCATTGTTGGTCTTGCTGCCCACAATAATTTCTGGAATTATTTGCCATTAGCTTGAGGACCTTACCGTCCTGGTACAAGCCCGGCCGCGACTAGACGGACGGATCTTAGTCTGACACGGTCCTGCTGGCCGAGGCGAACCTGAGGCAAACGGTCCCGATTCCCCTGCCGTGGCCGCTCTCCTGGCCGTCCCTCTTCTCCTCGTTCCTATTACGTCCCGATTGACTGACGGGCTGACGGACGGAGCTGACTGACTCTCTTCGTTCCCTCCCTCCTCCCTCTTGTTCCCCCGCCCAACGAACGAGTCGTCCTCGTCTCGTTGTCCAACAACAACAACAACAACTGGCACTCACTGCCTTGAATCACTCCCTCCACCCCCCTCCCATTGCCCTTTCTGTTTCCTTGAGTCTTTCTTCCTTCTATCCTTTGCCCTTTCTCTTTGCCTTCCTTTCCTTTCCCTATTCTTCCGTTCTCATTGAACCGAACCCTGGTCCTTCCTTCTCTTCTTCTTCTTATTCTTCTTCTGATTTTCCCTTTTCAATTCCCCTTTAATACCTACTACTTATCTTGGGCATCTTATCGCCTGCTTTGGTGTGGTCGCTTCATCGCATCCGCCTGTACCCATAGTAATTCCTTATTCCCTCCATCCTTGGTTGTTCGGCGCCCAATTCTTGGCTCCTTGTTTCGCGGCAGGACCAAATCAACGCCGCTGCCTGTTCCCGAAGGCGCACACCTGGTCGCACGCACACGGTTACGTTACGCCCACTCCGCATTTGTTGTCGGGAGTGTCGCTGGATCTGGATTTCGGTCTTGGGCCCAGACTCTCCGTCACAAACGAAGCGTAACCGCCAATCTCGATTCTCGGCGTCGTAACTGATTCGAAACTGGTGTTCTTTGCGGTCGACATTCGACGGCGCGCATTCCTTTCTGTTCTGCTGTCGCATACGTTTCTCGCCCGAGGTGTTGCGAAGATCGGGTCGCAGGTCGGCTCACTAAACGCTCTTCGAAGTTGAAAGGAACTAAGAATAAAGCAGACCGGCAAAGAAATCGTCGCAGACCGGAGGATGACCGAAATTTGAAACGAGGAAACGAGAAACGAGGCGACGAGTGTGCGGACTATTGACGGCGGCTGTACCCTCACCCTACGGGATAAGGCACAGCCTGCGGATCGGCCGCATCATCTGGCCGAACAATTAACGGTACTACGGATGGTGGACGAAGGGCAACTGGCAGAATGTCGACAATCGAAGATCCTTTCGTTTCCAGGTCCCAGGAGGGCGCGGTTCCTCGCGAGTCGCATAGATACTCGTCCTTTGATACGCAACTGTTCAGTCTCGATGCATCCTCGCCGGCGCAAGCAAAACGAGCCCTCGAGGCGCATCTGGCAGAGACAGAGCGTAGACTCGAGGAGGCGAGCAAGCTAGGCACTGCTCTCATCGAACAGCAGAAGGAACTCGAAGACAAGCTGAAGGAAGTTGAACAGCAGCAGGAGGCTGGCCAGATTGGGCCAGACCTTCGTCGGAAGCTCGCA